CATATAGGATTGGCCAAAGCCTGCTATAGGCTACCAAATGAATGATTGAACAACCCTGACGCGAGGTAAACGTACACATGGTTCCAGATCCAGATCCAAGTGTGAATGGTTTTGGAAGGACTTTATGAGCAAAACAAATTAGTGTTTTATTACGCCTACAACGGCAACGTATACCAAAACATCTACCAAACCAGGAACAGCGCCACTAGCCTACGTGTGGCCACATATTATCAGAGAATACCAGAGAATGCATAGGAAAGAAGTTAAAGGGGCTATAGACGATGTTGCAGATGTCGCACTAGAGCACCAGCATCTCAAAGCACAACAATTGGGAGTGTTCTTTACCTTCTTAACTCATCTCGTCATGAACGCGCAGCCGGACCGGACACCAAAACAAAGAAAATAGAAGCTCAGATTACAACACACACAGAGGGAGGGTGCCTTCATTCTCTGGTCAGGACGCCATTACTCCACTATATCTCTGCATAGCCAATAGTTGTTTGCTGCTATATTAATGTTCAGGATATCGTCTATAGCCCCTTTAAGAGTAACTATTTTCTATTTTCTGCCATTTACGCCATTTTCTCCTCATGACAAAGTCAATATGTTTCATACCGTGTCCCGCCGTGTGTAGTCTACGCTTGTTCGAATTCCACCTGTGCCACTGAGTTTTTAGATTAAACAGTGAGCCTGAATTTGTTTCATGTCATGTTATTAAATTCAGGATTGTTTTTGTATATATTATAATATTTTATGGAACACGCATGGAAAACACATCTGTGATTAGAACAAAAAAAGTGTGAGAAAAGTGTCTATTTGCACCCGGGTGAGAATAGCCACACGGCCACGCCAAACTTGAAGAACTGGTCCACAAGCCAAGTGTTCTTAAATGACCACAATTATGAGGATGGTGAGGTGCAGGAAACTGCGTTGTGCATATTCTGTGGTGTAGTGGTTTGCTTAACATGCAAAAACTCCCCGGTTCGAAACCACTGGGGTTTAACATAGTTTAAGACCATTAACGGGGAAGCCATTTGTACCTAGTAGATGTCAAACAAGGGAAGCCAAAACCAACATTGCATTCGGACATAAGGAAAGAACATCATTGCTGCTGTCGTCATCATGTGGTGTGTTCTTTGAGGAAGAAGGCCGCCGACACAGGATCGCTTTTAACTCACTTTATTTGTTTAGCTTTAGGTATATTATCTATGAAGCAAATGGAGAGGAATTGTAAAATTCACGCGCGGAGCTACCCCTTAACTGGATATCTAATAGATACGCTGCCTGGGGGTTTCTGCCCTTCCCCCGGATGTGTGGTTTGGTAGTACCTGGGCAGGCGTGGCCTCTATGACGCATAATATGCTCTGATTGGCTAGTGTTGCACGCCCGCCCCCAATGTATTATGTGTGCCGCCATCTGGTGGCCAGGTGCGGTTAATACAACTTATATATTTATTTCTATTCCCTAGTGGCTATGTGTAGATATTACAGCCTGTTGATACATATGTGCGGTTATACATTCGTCACAATCATCATGTTCATTAGTGTATTGATGTAGTTACTCTCTCTCGCTTGCTCTCTCTCTCTCTCTCTCTCTCTCTCTCACCCCAACTGGTCAAGGCAGATGACCACCCACCTAGAGCCGAAGGGTCTGTCCAAGGTTTCTGCCTTTTAACAGGCAGTTTTTCCTTGCCCCCGTGCCAAGTGCTTGCTCATGGTGGTACTGTTGGGTCTCTGTAAATGTTATTAGGAGTTCGGTCTAGACCTGGGGCCTCATTTATAAAGGTCTCTGCCCACGAAAATGTTGTGGAAACAGGGCTGAAATGTGCGTACGCATCTTTCACCGCCAACGTCGTGATTTATAGAAAAAAACCTTGCGGAAAAGAGTGCGCAGTTCTACGCATACTTTCACCCTGGAATAAAGCTCCCGCAAAGTTTTTCAAACAGTGAACTCCGGAGACGACCACAGGAAGTTGGTGGCGGTAATGCACCATATCGGTTTGCAAACCGCCAATAACGCCAAAAGAAGAAGAACACGCCACCGTCCGTTATCCAATGCACATTGCGCACCACATACTATGACTTTGGATTTATTTATTCATTTTATAAAAAGCACCCATTATGAAATATGAATTAAGGCAATATTATGTATCACTTAAAAGTTTCATTAATTACCTTCATAAATAGGCCTACATTCAATAAGCCTGTGGCCATTTGAAATTAATGCCCCTATTGGCCTATCAATAATGCAAGGCCTATAAATAGTGGTCTGATGGCCTCTGTATTCTAACGTGCGCTAATATGGCAGCCTTGGCATTGCTCGAGGATATGGCGAGAGGTATGCGACGCGAGCGCGTTTTTAGGGACCACGAAGATTACCTGGCCGACGATGATGAATGGCTAATAAGCCGTTTCAGGCTTCCTAGAGCCATTCTCGTGCAAATCTGTGGTGAACTGGAATTAGCTTTAGAACGGCCTACTCGCCGGAATAGGTCCATACCTGTGCAGGTACAAGTATTGACCACCCTTGGATTTTTGGCTACCGGGACGTTCCAGCGCGAGCTTGCCGATAGGTCCGGCATATCACAGCCATCACTGAGCGCGATTATGCCAGCCGTGTGGAGAGGTTTGATTGAATTGACCCCTCGTTACATAACGTTTCCCTATACTGCTGTTGAACAGGCCAACATTAAAATGCAATTTGCCGCAATGTCCGGTTTTCCTAATGTAATCGGAGCTATTGACGGCACACATATTGCGATAAAAGCACCGACTGATAATGACTATGCTTATGTCAATCGGAAGCAATACCATTCAGTCAATGTGCAAATCATATGCAATGCAGACATGACATTTTTAAATGTCGTGGCTCGTTGGCCAGGCTCAACCCACGACTCTTTTATGTTGAGACAAAGTAGTGTAGGAAGAAGGCTCCAGGCTGGCGCTGTGCAGGATGGTTGGCTTCTGGGTATGTATATGTGCGTTTTTGGTGTCATAAAAAAACGTTTACGTAGAGTGGTTTTCCAACATTTTACAACCTACAATTATCATGCAGGAGATAGTGGGTATCCCCTGAGGAGCTGGCTCCTCACTCCCTTCTCCAACCCACAAACCCAAGCTCAGCTAAACTACAATGACATGCATGCGCGCGCTCGGGTGGTGGTAGAGCGCTCCATTGGCCTTTTCAAATCTCGCTGGAGGTGCCTGGATAAGTCTGGAGGAATCCTGTTGTATACACCTGAAAAGGTTTGCGCCATTATCCGGGCATGTGCAGTTTTGCACAATATAGCACAGAGGCACAGAATTCCTGCACCTGCTTCCATATTGCCCGACGACATGGATGCGCACGCGGCGAATGAGGACCACGCTCCTAGAGCTGTTGAATTGCGCGAACAAGTGATGGGGCGTTTATGGACAGGTAAGACACACAACATACTTTTTTAGCTCTTTTATTGCACAACAAATGTCAGACAATACACTTCGGCAGTCAATTTACCGATGGCTTCTATAATTTCTTTCTGTGACTGCAGCACGGCATCAGTGAGGACACGGGCCGAGGGCACGCCGCGAATGGCGCCTGATGGAGTGGAGCGTGCGCTGGAGGCTGACGCAGGGGCGCTGGAGGCTGACGCAGGGGCGCTGGAGGCTGACGCAGGGGCGCTGGAGGCTGACGCAGGGGCGCTGGAGGCTGACGCAGGGGCGCTGGAGGCTGACGCAGGGGCGCTGGGTGCGCTGGTGCCTGGGTCGCTGGGTGCGCAGGAGCCTGGGTCGCTGAGGCCGCTGGTGCATGGAGGGCTGCTGGCATCTGGTGCACTGTCCATCCGGGACCTCTCGCCTGCATGTGGCAGAAAAATAAAGCCCATTGAAATTTAATTTCGGTCTCATGTTATTTATATGCGTGTATGTGTTTATAATGAATGGTATAAGCTTCAATACAACTTTTCAATCTCACTTACCTGCGTCTGTGTCCCCCTCATCCTCGGGCACAATTCCTGAGAGCAATGTTTCCCCCATGATGCCAGCAACCCTCTCGTCCAGAGGTGATGGTGGGGGCTTCCCCGACCCACCTCCAGTGATGAGGACACTCTGGCGGTATTCAGTGATCCTCTTTTTAGAATCTACCTTCATGTCCGACCACTTCTTTTTAATTTCACCAAATGATCTTTGTGTCGAACTGACCTCATTCACAGCAGCTGCCACGGACTGCCATGATATTTGTTTGTTCTTCTTGGTTACCCCTGTACTTAGGCTCCCGAATAAAATACTTTTGCGGTGGTCAACTTCATTGAGAAGCACTTCTATTTCACAGTTCGAAAAACGCATTTTCTTCTTGGAAGGTGGATCCATTTCGGTGTAATGATAGCTCAGCAAAGGCTCCTTATATACTTATAAATATTAAGTGATTAATTAGCATTGACCTTATAAGGACTATTATGGGACGAACTTGGGAGGAGCATGGCGCTCGTGCACGCACGCCAAATTCAACGCAAGTTGGTATTTATAACGAGAAGAGTGCGTACAGGTGTACGCACATTCTGAGGTTTGGGCGTACGCAATGTTCTACGCAGGGTTTCACGCAGAGTTTTATAAATGAGGCCCCTGCTCCATTTGAAAAGTGCCCTGAGATAACTTCTGTTATGAATTGGCGCTATACAAATAAGATTGGTCCCTATCTCAACCATTCAACTGTCTATCAGACCCAAATGCTTTTACCCAGTTTCAAACCAGGGACCTTTCAAGTGTAAAGCTGACACGATAACCACAACACTACAGAAACAACTGTATCTTTGTGCTTTAGTAGCGACATGAATCCATGAATGACCACAATTTCTTGAGGGGGAGGAATTCCTTGTTTGATATCCTGTAAACATCTACTAGGTACAAATGGATTTCCCGTTAATGTTCTAAAATTGTGTAAAATCTTAAATGAACATAAATTGATCAAGTGCAGGCAGCAGCATTACATTGAGTTTAAACATTACACTGTCGATCAGAACCGAACGTTCCTACCCGGTTGAGAACTGGGGACCTTTCACGTGTGAGGCAAGCATGATAACCACTACACTACAAAAACTGCACAATGAAGCTTCCTGCACCTCCAGAAATGTGGGTGGTTTAAGAATTCACGTAGCTGCTAAAACCGAGAAAAGTAGATGTCTACTGAAAACACGACATTTTTAGGCAAAGTACACAGTTTCAGCTGTTTCTTTAGTGTAGTGGTTATCACGTTTGTCTCACACGCGAAAGGTCCCCCGTTCGATTTGGGTCTTATAGCTGGTTGAGATCGGAACTCATTGATCCTTTCCTGATGTCAATGCAGGTTTTGGCTTTGCTAGTTTGATATCTTGTCAACATCTACAAATGGCTTTCACGTTAGTCATGTGTTCTAAAATGTTATCAAATTCCCTATGTTTCTGACCGGTTTCTAACCTGGGACCTTTCACGTGTTAGGCTAACGTGATAACCACTACACTACAGAAACTGCAGAACGCAGCTTCCTGCACCTCCAAAAATTTGCGTCGTTTTAGAATTCATACAGCTGCTAAAAACGAGAAAAGTAGATGTCTACTGAAAGCACGACATTTTCAGGCAAAGTACAAATATACAGCTGTTTCTGTAGTGTAGTGGTTATCACATTCTCCTCACATGTGATAGGTCCCCGGTTCGAAACCGGGCAGAAACATTTGGGTCTAATAGCCGGTTGAAATCGGAACTCATTGAGCCTTTCCTGATGTCAATGCAGGTTTTGGCTTTCCTTGTTTGATATCATGTCAACATCTACTAGGTACAAATGGCTTTCCCATTAATGTTCTAAAAATGTATCAAGTTCCAGATGTTTCTGGCCGGTTTCGAACCAGGGACCTTTCGCGTGTTAGGCGAACGTGATAACCACTACACTACAGAAACTGCACAATGCAGCTTCCTGCACCTCCAGAAATTTGGGTCGTTTAAGAATTCATACAGCTGCTAAAAACGAGAAAAGTAGATGTCTACTGAAAGCATGACATTTTTAGGCAAAGTACAGCTATACAGCTGTTTTTGTAGTGTAGTGGTTATCACGTTTGCCTCACACGCGAAAGGTCCCCGGTTTGAAACCGGGCAGTAACATTTGGGTCTAATAGCTGGTTGAGATCGGAACTCCTTGATCCTTTCCTGATATCAATGCAGGTTTTGGCTTTGCTAGTTTGATATCATATCAACATCTACAAATGGCTTTCACGTTAGTCATGTGTTCTAAAATGGTACCAAATTCCCTATGTTTCTGACCGGTTTCGAACCTGGGACCTTTCACGTGTTAGGCGAACGTGATAACCACTACACTACAGAAACTGCAGAATGCAGCTTCCTGCACCTCCAGAAATTTGCGTTGTTTTAGAATTCATACAGCTGCTAAAAACAAGAAAAGTAGATGTCTACTGAAAGCACGACATTTTCAGGCAAAGTACAAATTTTCAGCTGTTTCTGTAGTGTAGTGGTTATCACATTCTCCTCGCATGCGATAGGTCCAGAAACATTTGGGTCTAATAGCCGGTTGAAATCGGAACTCATTGATCCTTTCCTGATGTCAATGCAGGTTTTGGCTTTCCTTGTTTGATATCATGTCAACATCTACTAGGTACAAATGGCTTTCCCATTAATGTTCTAAAAATGTATCAAATTCCAGATGTTTCTGGCCGGTTTCGAACCAGGGACCTTTCGCGCGGGAGCCGAATATAGTTAAGCGTAACTTCCCTTAACTTTTCCCATTCATTCTCTATGGTAGTTCTTATCACTACGGATGTAATATATTTTTGGCCATAAGCGGGTTTTTGGGGGCGCTGTTTCTACAGTTTGAAGAAGAGTAGGCGTACAGAGTGAAGAAGAGGAATGACTGAACAGGTAGCGGCGGCACCCATTTATCTATCTATGTATCTATCTATATATATATCTATTTATCTATCCAACTATAAATCTATAACAACTATAAACTGTCTGTGTCATATAAAGATATCTATGTAGTATGAAAGGGATAATGTACAGTGAGACGGTCATTATTGAGAAATAAACCCCCTGGGTGATTCAAGACCCCCCGCTTCGCGTCGAACTGCGTAAACAAATCAGTAATAACACAAAATATAAGCATTCATAATGTAGTATTCAAGAAGCCGTGTAATAAAAAATGATGTTACCTAGTCATTATAAATGTAATTCTGTCATTTTAATTATTACTGTGTAATATGCACGGTGTTTTGCTGTGTACAGAAGATAATGAAGAAGACCATCAGCTTTTTCCCTGGAAGGATGAAGGTCTCTTTCAGGAAGGGTCCATCTGGCCATCTACGGCAGGACCCCTCTGATGAGGCCATGAGGATCAAAAATAATCCTGCGCTTCAGGACAGGTCTCCTGCTCGGAAACATGACCTTGTGAAGGTTGATGCCCTCACTGTGGTCGTTCGGCGGGGTGGGGATGTGTCTGACCAACAGGAGCTGATGGGGGAGTATGTACTACAGTTTGGTAAATACAAGGGGAAATCATTCCGTTGGCTCCTGGAGAATAATGTTGGCTACATCATCTACCTCATCAAGAAGGTAGATGAGGAGGAGAGAGATGGACGCTTCAACCCCCAGGGACACAGCAAGGACAGCCTTCTCTCATTTCTCGAGTATGCCAGGAGCTTCCAGGAAATCGAAGACCTTCATAAGTACCTACTCTCCAGGCAGCCTGCAGCACCAGTGGCCTCAGAGGCCGACAATCTTGTTGGATTTGGAGCCAGGACCAAGGACACCTGGAGGCAGATCTGGGAGAGCAGGGCAGACGGATATGCTGCCTTCGTCTTAGGAGTCAAGTGCATCCAAAACAGCAAGATGTACAACCTGCAGCAGTACCTGCTCAAGCAGCCACCTGCAAAAGCCTCCACTACATCAGCTGCCTCCACACCTACATCTACAACAGGTGAGCTCACACAAATATGCAAACTCGTGTTGTATGTGAACATTTAATGTACTTAACACATTATTAATGTTATTGTTTAATCTCCTAGCGATGGAGGAGGATGAGGAGCTGGAGAGAGGGATGTTAAATATTTCTCCCTCTAAATTTGTCACTGAACTACGTAGGTGGATCTAATTTATAGTAATAAGAGGAAGTTGTAAAAAAAAAAAAAAAAGTTTCTTTACACCCTTACTGTACATGATACAAGTCTAATGTTACCTGTGCTTTCAGGGCCAGAAGCAGCAGTCCCCATAGCCACAGCTGCGTCTCCAGCAACAGGTTTTTCGCCATCAGTGTGGAAGGAGGATTCTGTTTTCACCAGAATTCACCTGCCATTACTAGTTTGTTATTTTGGCCGTGTTCTGGCCTGTTTTGATGTGTGTGTTCTTTTATTCTATAAAAGGTCTGACATGTCAGCGATGAGGGTGAGTGTTCACGAGTTCTCTTTTTGCATGCTTGTTGCAGTGGTGGTTCAAGGGTTTGGCATGGAAATGAACATGTGAGCAAGAGAGCAGGAATAACACTTGATTTCTTTTAACAGTGAGGAGTAAACCAACAGCTGCTGCTACACGGTCAAAGTCCAGTATCACTGCTTCTCCTCTGCAAGGTTAATATACATGCACATACAGCCCATCTTTATTCACTGTGAAGATGATTTCCAGTTTTGTGACGTTTCCTTTTTGTTTTTGTTCTTTTCTGTTTCACTAGCTACCTCCGTTCCAGTGAAGACCCCTCTCCCAATACCTCCTCAGCTGCTCGCTTTGGCTCCATCCTTGACATCATTGCCTGTTGTTTCAAATGAACAAAGTATGACATTTCATTTTATTTTAATTGTCCACATCCTATAATACAATATGTATCCCATGTTGATGGCTCCATTTTGGTCCAAACCTTTGCCTCAATGTTTGCACTGCTGTCATATGATGAGGACCTGTCCTATTGACATTATCTGTTCATCGTGTAATGACTCCCTCACTCTTCCGTTTTGTGTTATGCAGCTCTGCCACACCCTACCTCTCATCCGGTACAGCCTGCAGTCTCTGCTCAGCCTGCAGCCTCTCACCCGTCACCTCCTGTTCATCCTGCAGCCACTGCCCCCAGCTACGACCATGATGTCAGCTCCTGGAATTGCTCTCACCATCAAAGAGTATGGATGAAGACAGAGATGGAGGCGATGGGGCTATGGCCAGGGTCCCGACCGGTCCGACATCTGGGGAACATGATCTCCTTGTGGCGACATCCACCTCAGCCCGAGCTCATAAACACCACCTCTGAGCTGCCGTCACCCAACTACTTTCAGCTCCATCCATTTTTCATTTGGAAGCCAGAGCATGACCTGATGGAGAGGGTGAGGAACAATTACATCCTGCCTTGCTTCTACGGCTGTCCCAACCCCCAGGTTGCCTCCTCTGGTGTGGGGAGGCCTCGGGTGATAGTTGGCATAAGCGGCCAGTACTACATATTGGCCTCCCGTCTGGGCTGCAAGGTATGCAGACGGCACTGGTTTGCAGACAAGCCGCAGTGGGTGGACATGCTGCCGAAGCGATTTCAGAACATCTTGCCAGCCTTCATCACCCATAAGAAGGCAATCTGCAAGACTGTGATGGATGAGCTGAGACGCAGCGGCAAGTCACCGAATGACATGGCCAACCAGATTAGGGAGATGCTGAATCTGAAATACGAAAGAGCCCACCTGGCCTACCTGCTCAGCGTGCAGAACACTAGGGATGCTGAAGCAGGGGTGTATGGACAGAGCACCATCACTGGGTTTCTGAGACGCGAGGACTCACCTGCTCCATTTAGGGAGTATGAAGATGCAGATGGCTGGTATGGAGTGTCTGTGACTTCACACTACCTGACAGAGTGCCTCCTCCAAGAGTACCAGCGGCAAGAGCTAGCTCTCACACTCCTGCTACAGGGTACCTTTGGACAGGTCTTCAGGTCCGACCACACTCGCAGAGTGGCAAGTAAGGTCACGTTATCATCTGGCACTATGTCATCCTATGCCATTATGAATGAGAACTGGATGATCCTGTCCTGGGTGATGCTGCAGTCAGAGGGTGACCAGCGCCTGGAGCCTATGTACGAGGGGCTGGCTCGCCGCTACAGTTCTGCTGGAATAGAGAAGGCCAAGTACCAGTGGGTGGACAGGTATGAATCACAATAAATCATAACTAGTTTAAGTACTTATTTTACATACATCTGATTCATAATTATTCAGATATGTAATGGAAACATAATGCTGACACCATTCACTTACATTTTTCCATTAATAATTTCAAATTTCTATTTTCTCTTCATGTCCAAACACAGAGACTGCTGTGCTGCTTTCAGAGTCCCAGACTCAAAGCCTCGGGAGCACCTCTTGTGGGATTCCTGGAGGACCACAGATGCTGTTGTGGCAGAGGTGACCTCCGGGAACTTGGCCAACACCTGTGCCTCACGGAGCAAGTTCAACAACGACATAGTTGTCAAGTTGGACTTGTTCCACTGCATGCGGCGGTTCACCAGGGAGTGAGTCTCGGAGCATCATCCACTCTACAGCTCCTTCTGCAAGTTTCTCTCTGCAGCCTTCACTGTAGTAGACCAGAGTGACCTGGAGAAGCTGAAGGAAGCGTACACCTTCTGTAGGATTGCTCCTGCCATTCCAACCAAGCAGCACATCAGGGAGCACTGCAGGACAAAGGTGCCACATCCGAGGGAACTGGTGC